TCTTATTTTATTAAGAAATTGAAAGTACACTTGCAGCACATAATTGCCTAATTTGTGACACTTGTTTGTCTTTTTTATTATGACAGCCTACTCCGATGTATAAATATGTAATTCTAATTAATTAATAAGAAAAAAATTTGAATAACATAAAAATTATGAACTTTTAAGCACAAGACATCTCGTATAAAAATTGAAGAGGACATAAAACACAATCGAATAGCGAAATAAAATAGTGGTAGTTAAAAATTTGAAAAATAATACTTATGGCACTTTGAACAAATGACATTGAAACAAGTACAAAAATTCAGGATGTTCTATTTAAAAAAAAGCATTTATTTATTGACACCGTAAAAATGGGACACCCTGTATATTCAAAAATAATTTCTGTAGATCCACAACCATGTATAGACATTTGCACACAAGATTTTTTTTAAATCTTTTTTACCATGCGTAAGCTGGAAATGACGGACGCACTGTTGCAGGACCCTGTATATGACCAAATATTATAGTATTGATCGAAAATTTTTAGTGGCTTTTTAAAAACTGGGAAATTTTGCACATTGTAACTTTTGGCTCTTCCGTTTCAATAGGTTGTCGACTGGCACTCGAAAAATGAACACCGTGTATATGGATATATTGACATTGCCTAACGTTTCCATATAATGCCATTACAGTGTGCACATTTTAAATCCTTTGAGGTTTTGTGAGTTAAGAGACACCGTTTCAGGGAATGGTGGTGATATGTTGCAAAATCACACTCTGTACATTTTAAATATTCGAAAATATTGAGTTCACATATATGTCTACTTAATTTTGATTTGCGTATCCGCACCCCCTGGCTCGGTGACGTATTAAAATATAAATAGTGGGGATGCGTGATCATTTGCCTACTTATGTGCAGAGTACAGTAGTCCGTTGTATAACCAGACTGTGCACATCATTTTATATCATTTGAATATTTCAGAATATGTTGAAAATTTGTTGCTAAATTACAATGGCACACCGTGCACACTTTAAACATTTGAAAGTATTGTAAGATACCAGATGTCTATTTAAATTTGCTTTCTGATTTCTTGCTTAATCACACTGGGTACATTTTAAATTTTTTGTAGACTTGTGTGTTAAGAGATGTCGTTTCAGAAGATTTGTTCCAAAACTGCAATGTATATACTTTAAATCTTTTCAAGTATTGCGTATAGATGTCAGTCTGCTTGTCTGTATTCTTATTTCCGCCTAAACGGGTGAACCAATTGGAACCAAATTTGGTATACATAAAAGGAAGAGTGGAAAAGATTGTGGGTAGAATTGAGCATGCGCTCGTGTGGTATTTGTGCTGGCCACAGCAAATTTTTTCGATATCTATGATCTATGATCCGAGTAGTCTTAGACTCAGTGGTGGAGGTAAGAATCCGTGACAAAGATGGGAATTTCCTTGGATTAGTTACGAGTTTTGCCTAATTCGTATACCTGAGTAGTATAATGTATAAAACAACTTAAGATCTTCTGTAGGGGCACCTCTAAAAAGCATTTTGCGGGCCCTCTGTAATTGGGCGCAAGTCTCTTGAGGGCCCAGAACAAGAGAGAGATAATAAATAGACGATACCTCTGTACAGGGTGTCCGATTAATAATGATCACAGGCTATATCTATGGAACCGTTAATTGCACAGCTTCGGGTAAAAAAATTTGTTAACAAAATGGGCCAAGAGAAATCGCTGGAAATTATTTTCAAGTTTCTAACTTCGCCGCTAGAGGGCGTATGATTCATGGTTAGGTAGAAAAATGACTTTTCCTAAAATATACCCAACAAACATGCATAAAAAATACATGCATAGTAATCTTGTATCAATTTTGCATCATTTTGATGGAGCACAAATTGCTCTAGCTCATAAAATATGAGGAGTGGGGGAAGGGGAACATCTCTTTAAAGGAATTGATTGTAACTTCGGATTAGGTTAACAGATTTTCACATAATAGGTCTTGTTGGAAGGAGCTCTCTTCGCGGAATCAGATTTTATTACATAGAGTCTTTTTAGTAAATGTGATGAGTGGTAGAGGGCGCGATGTGACATTAACATAAACTTTGCAGGTTTTTTTGATAATTTCAAATGGAATGATATTATTATTATATGATATTATCAAATAAGGTGAAATAGTGAGAATATCAGTGAAAACCGGATTTGATATCTGTTTTCTAACCATAGATCTGGCGAAAATACGAATACATTCACAAATTTTAATTGCAATATTGATGCTCATTCAAGTTGGCTTTGAAACAAAAGAAAACAGAACAAAAGAAAGTTTATCAGTCCTTTCATTAAACGTATTCGTGCGAATTATCACCACGATGGGTGCCCGGCACATTTCTTGGTAAGCGAGAGTCGAGGCGAGAGTGTTTGAATTTGAGTTATCCTGGCAAATGGATAGAAAGAGGAAGTATTTTTTCATGACCAGCTAGGTCACTCGACTTAACTTGCTTAGACTTAAATTTGTTTGAAAGGATAAAAGACGCACAGTCTTTCTAACAAGGCCAACTACAAGAAACGATATGGTGACGAGAATTAGAAATGTAATTCATAGTCATAGCTGAAGTTAAAGCAACTGTTCTCTCTACACAGCAGAGACTCGTCTTTGTGTGGAAAATAATGGCAGACATTGAACATTTACGTTAATTATAATTATTATTTCTTTTATTATTTACTTAATTCATATTTCTCTGATTTAAAGTTTGAATCATTTTTTTGTTGCTCATAATTAAAACACTTAGATTGAGTGTTAATTTTGAACTGCCATCGCCTCATTCACTTTGACATAATTATCGGTTGCTATGTGTTCATTTGTTTCAAATCCAACTTGGATGAATATAAATATTGCAATTAAAATTTGTGAATCTTCGTATTTTCCCCATATCTCTGCTTAGAAAACAGATATCAAAATGCGGTTTTCACTGATATTCTCACTTTTTCATCTTATTTGATAATCTAATATAATAATTATATCGTTCCATTTGAAATTTAAAAAAAAACTTGCAAAGTTTATGTTAATGTCACATCGCGCCCTCTACCACTCATCACGTTTACTAAATAAACTCTCTTCATCTAAAATCTGATTCCACGAAGAGAGCTCTTTCCAACAAGACCTATTATGTGAAAATCTGTTAACCTCTCGGTTAACCTAATCCGAAGTTACAATCAATTCCTTAAAGAGATGTTCCCCTTCCCCCACTCCTCATATTTTATGAGCTAGAGCAATTTGCGTTCCATCAAAATGATGCAAAATTGATACAAGATTACTATGCATGTATTTTTTATGCATGTTTGTTGGGTATATTTTAGGAAAAAAGTCATTTGTCTACTTAACCTAAAGTCACTAGATATAGAAAGTACCGCAATCATCCGCCATTTTTGGGCAAATTTGCTGCCAACTTAAAAAAATTGACAAATAAAATCTGAATAGCTGTCATTTTTTATAACCTAACTTCATAGTACTGTCATGTTTTATAAAAATATATACAGATATCTCCAAACAGATGGAACAATCCTTAACATTAAAGTTACTAGAATCTGGTAACTTCCGCCATTTTTGGGCAAAAATCATGCGTTCTCTCTAACACACGAGCCCAATGGATTGCGGTACTTTCTATATTTAGTGACTTTAACTTAACCATGAATCGTACGCCCTCTAGCGGCGAAGTTACAAACTTGAAAATAATTTCCAGCGATTTCTCTTGGCCCCTTTTGTTAACATAATTTTTTCCCCGAAGCTGTGCAATTAACGGTTCCATAGATATGGCCTGTGACCATTATTAATGGGACACCCTGTACATGGGTCATAGATGATGAATCCCATTCGACACAGGAGGAATCCTTCTTACTGGAAAAATTTGACTTTCTTATGGTTTTTGGTTTCAATGCCTTCCATTAAAGCTGAGTATTGTTTCCATCAATTCATTTTGAAATACAGTCGAAAATTTGCCAATGGTAGGTATCTTTACTTCTATGTGTTTGAACCCAGCATCTTTAAAATTGGAGATTTTACTTCTCCACGACGAAAGTATGGGTTTACTGCCTCCTAAGGTATGGGTTCGAGAAGAGTGCATGGATTAATTGTGTAGACACAAATCATTTCGAGTCGAGCGAATGATTTTCAAAAATTATAAGTCCTGTGCTGGGCGTTACTTCGGATACCATGGTTCGTATTGTTCTGCAGATTTGCTGTGGAGTTGCAATCCGCAAAAGGCACGAGGCGACTTTCAAACGACGATGAAATGATTGTCTCTTGCGGTCCTTCGCGCCGACTCATTTGGGTCATACATGTACCTATCAATCAATCAATTACAAAATTCGCCAATGACGTCAATCGGCCGCGAGAATTCTAATTACGTATGAAAAACGACGGGCGGCGGCGGCGTTCCCAATAATGAGCCGATTTCGAAATAACAACAATGTTGTTTCGCTAGAAAAGAAAAATGAATTAGAAATACAGGCGCCAAGCATTTGCAATAAAAAGGAATGTAAAAGATACAAATACACGACAAGTAGATATTATCTCGCGTTTAACGGCTAAGTAATAAACAGCGAGTAAGAATTTTTGCTCGTCAGAAAATTGCACGTTGTCTTTCCTAGTGAGGTGCTGTCGCCATCCGGCCCCCTACATCTAATAGGCCTCCGGTTATGTGTAACGCGATCTATTTATAGTATAGTCTATTATAAGCTACTGCAATAGGTCTCTTAAACTTGGTGAAATTTAATTGGTTAACTGTTTTATCTTTTTTTTTTCCAATCCCTGTACCGTTATTTTTTGGGCTGCCCCTCGTATACGTTTTGTTTTGGGAAACGTCGTTTTCGTTGTTATTGTTGTTATTGCTAGTCCAATTACGTGATAGGTGCAATGTTAGCGTTTTAAACCAGAAGCGGATGGAAGCCCCACATTCCCCACCTGCTGGAGTGCGGCCGTGGTCAATCTTCGAGCGCAGGTGCTCGCAACAAACGATGTCAACTGGCTTTAGACCATCTCGTACTTAACGTTTGTATACAGTATAGCTCGGCGTTTTTGTGTTCTTTTCGCGTTTTAAATAAAAACTCGTTCGAAGGGGGGGGCGACAGCTAATTTTTCAAAATTTCCTTTCCAGTGCCTCCGCGCGCCGTGTGCATTACACAATTTGTGATTAATTTGTATTTAGACACTTCCTCTTAAAAAATGCGGAAGGCCGAACTTTCTTTCGACATTTCAGGAAACTCGAATTGTGCGCATTAAGTTTGGATTTTAATGGCATTAAGCTCGATGGTAATTTAATTGATCGGGTATCTGTTTGTTCAACGTTAAATACATATTTCCTCAATGACGAATCGTTGCTAGTTGTTGATTGCATGTTAAGTGGATGGTGATACAAAGTGTTTAAGGAAAAATCACGAATTTAAACCCACCGGATCGTGTTTCCGTGTTTTTTGACATTCATTCAGAGAACAGCAGTAGGTGGTCATTATAGTTGTACATACGTCATTTGCATTGTCTTCCTATTATGATGCTCGGTCTATTAACAACAGCACCGTAGAAGTAGACGATTAACGCGTGTAAATGGTGTTTGTACTTCCAAAAGGGATTTAAATCGTCGAGTGTTCGAGATCAATATTTAATGAGCGGCATTTTTAAATGATGGTGACATCGGGGGTGGTCTGGTGTCTTAAAAACGATCGATGGATTCCTCTACAACTAAGCTCGGTGCGTCTGCACGGTGTCGTTACGCAAGCCCATTGGGCCGCCGTGTCGAAATTTCTTCAGGAAGTCGCCAACAAGCAATTCATCTTGCAAGAGAACGGTTTTACTGAATTAACCGAACAGCAAAAAGAAGTGCTCTTGAAACAAGTGCCCAAAAACGATGCGTCGGAAGTCAAAGAAAAACAGTGGCAGGAGCTCGTGGCGAAGGATAGCTCGTCGGTTAACGACGAAAAATTGGATTCGTCCAAATGTGATAACGTAGATAAAGAAATTTGTAGTAAATTCGTAGGTAATAATTTCTTAGAAAAGACTGACGTCCAAAATAGTGAGGCAAAGACTGATAGGAAAAATTCCCTTCAAAGTGACGAAATCGTTCTGCGATTACTTCGCAAGTACTCGAAGTACAGCCGAGGGGCCTTGGCTGACAATATCTTAACGGCGATAGACGACCTTCCCGAAGAAACTCCACGCGTCCGAAAACGCGGCGTTACCCACAAGGAAGAGCGCCTCTACGAAAACTGCAACGAGTGCGTCCGTAGTTCGGACGAGGAAACTTTGGAAAACCAACGCAACGAGCACGTGCTCCGGTGGCTGAAGGAGCAAAGCAAGTGGAACGCCATCGACGCGAACAGAAAATTCAGTTTACCGTGCCCCGACAATCGAACTTTAGAAAATGAGCTCATTCGAGACCGTCGCACCAGCTGCGTTATCAAGACGCACAGTCGCAAGTCGTCACTTTCTTCGGTCATCGAAAGCAAACAGTCCACGAGTTCGCCCACGACCAGTCGAAAATCCAGCGTCTCTTCGCCTTCGACCTCGGACAGTAGGAAATTGTCCGAAAATGTTCGAAAAAACAGCGTCACCTCCAATAGCAGCTGCTCGGAGAGCGAAGAGGGTAGCGTCACGTCCGGCCACTGGCAGAAGATTCTGATGAAAAATTTCGGACCGAAGAAGCTCGAGGAAAAAATTCGAAAACAGCGAAGGGTATGGGCGAGGAATACGAGAAAGTTAAGCGTCCCCGATGTGTCCTTGCAGTTGTAAGTATATATCATTCGTACGGTATTTATTGATTAAACCGTTGAGCCGAGTTGATCAATTAGAAATTTGTTACGCCGATTTCAGTATTCTTAAGATCTTCGTCGCTGACCAGTCCGAAATAGGACCTTTTAACATCTCGTCAGTTATCATATCATTATCGATTCTTTTTTATACATAATTTCGCTTAAAAAAGCACCGTGAAAAGATATCCGTCGGAGGACACCCCCCACCCCCCCCGCAACTTTTCTATATTACGCATGAAAATGAATGTGATTATTTTTGGTCCGCACAGTGAAAAGCAAATGGCGTTCTGTACAGGGTGGTTTAAATTCGTGGCTCACCATTGGAATCTCCGTAACTGTGAGAGACACAGTGTAGGTTAAATGGGGGAAAAGGTGCCCAAAAAAGGCATTTCAAATTTTGGAAAAATCTCTGAAAATAACTGAGATATCACCGAAAAACATCTAGCGTGTTATGGTAATCCTAATAACAGATTCAGATTCTCCGTACAGTGCCCTTAGAAGATGCTAACGGGAACCGTTCATTTCTGACCTTTTAACCCAGGGAAAACGGTAACGGAATTTGAAATTTTCAGTTTTGTGATGATATCTTTTTAAAAATTCGTTTGTATAGTCACAAAAAGGGGCCCCATTTGTTACTACACTGTATCTTTCACCGTTAGGGAAATTCCAATGATGAACTGAATTTGAACCCCTCTGTACAATGAACCCGCTTAATTTTAATAAGCATAAACAACAAAGATGACACATCTCATCAAAATAATATGATTTGAGAAAATTGGCGTATTTACAGCGCCATCGCCGCGCTTAAAACTCGTATAAGAATTGCATTACCCTACGTTCCCTGTACTGTAAAATCAAAGTGAAACAGACCCTTTGAAAGTACCCACCTCTGACAATCCGCTCTTGAGATAGGAAGGATTAGACTTACAGATTCGGTTAAATTGGCAAAGTTGTGTAGTTTTTTATGCTGATGGGTATTCCAATGCAATATTGTGAAAAAAATTGGTTAATTGGTTTCGTAGATAATTGGAAAAAAGTTTCAAATAAAAGTTGCAAGATTCGATGGGATAAATTCAATGGGCCTAGAAAATTGTTTTCAAAACGGCGGTTTTCGACATATTGACATCAACTTTCTTATATTAAATGGACGCCATATTAGATTTTTACGTTGCTCGATAGAGAGAAAAATTACAAAACCAGCGATACTAAACACTTGGATTATAAGGTAGTAGCATGCTATATTTATCGATGTTTAAGGTACTTTCTTAGTAGATGATAAATGGCGAGGTGGCTTTTTACACATAAACATTTAACGGCCATCTGGCATACTTTCAAAATTTACGCTATATAATGCAAGAGGAGGAATTCTCTAGATATTTGCACTGCAAGTTTTGACCAATACCAATAGCTCTGTTTCGTCCACACGATCTATTTTGGCTGTCTAAGTACTCTCCTCTAACAAATCGTTAGATATTCGCTCTTACAGTTTTGAAAAGATTTTGGGCAGAAGTTGCCCTACACCCTACACAGATATGTGCATACCATGCTATTGCGATTCCAGTTTTTAGCGCATTTTTGCAAATTTATTTGTAAAAAGTAGCTTTTAATCTCACTTTGGCTGGCTGGCTGGCAGCAAATGTGGGCGCGTAGAAGAACTCTTGTAGAAAGGCAACGGGTGTACGTGTATCTACAAGGCCGTGTAATTTGTAAACCTTGGGGACAGGGCTACATGATGTGGGGTTGGCGACATCTGGGCGTCGTCCTCGAGCGTAGTATACTAACGTGAAGGTTTTTCAGTTTTTTCCTATCTTCTACTACAGTTTTGGTCCGATTCTTTTCAAATTGGTGTCGTCGGAAAGATGTTGTAAACGCGCACAACTCCTGCGTGGCGGAATTTTGTTTTTTGGCCTAGGGGCGAAATTAACGACCTTTTGCAAGGCGCGCGCGCGCGTCTTCGAGAGGTAGTCAACTTCGGGCACCTTTTACCTTCCGTTGCGAATTCTGTCACGCGTTTTAACGTTTCGTAAATCTCGAATGGCTGTCTCTCTTTCTCGTGTCGCCAATAGAAGCTCGAGCAATGAGAAGTGCCCCCAAAAATTAAGTACTATCTTGTGGAAGGTTTTTAGCGAGATCCACCAAAATGTGGGTGTAATATAAGTATGCACCGAAAAAGGAAATGTGGTAGCCTCCGACAAGATCTAACTGATGGTGGAGAAAAATCTTCAAACGCGAATTGCGGGTGAACGGGACGTCGGAAGTGGGTACCGTCAAAGGGAATGTGGTATCCTTCGACAAGATCTTTTATTCATGGTTGAGTAAAAAGTGGCTAATAGAATACTGATCTGCCACACAAAAATGCGCTGAAGTCCCTTCGATCTCACACGAGGACTTTGATAATTTTTTAACAAATATTTTTATTCTTTGGGACGCCTTGTATAAACCTCTCGCCAGGAAAGATTGCCGGTCATAGAACACTTGATCCCGGTCTACAATCTATGTTTTTCTAAAGATGTGAGTGACTTCCGGGATAGTATCGTGTCAGTTTTGAACAAAAAGACTTTTCGATCAACATTGGCACGATCCTATTCCGGAAGTCGATCGCATCTTAAGAAAAACATAGATTGTAGATCGACACAAGGTGTGCTGTGACCGGCAATCTTTCCTGGCGAGAGTTATATATTAATTTCTTAGTTACAATAGTTCCCACTACCAAATCCGTCTGTGTCCTCCTAGCTCCTCACATACACACTCCTTAAACCCAATTGGAAATGGTTTGAGATATCAATTTGATATTAGAGGTGGAGGGGAGGCCAGAAGTAAGGTGTATAATAACTTCTTCTTGACATAAGATTGATAGTTTTAACTTCGAAGATGGCGCCTGTGAGCCAATTAAAATAGAGCAAAGAAACAAGTAGTAAAGTTACGGTTATGAATCAAAAATTGGCAACACTGCGTAAAAAAAGGGGCGGAGTTATCTTTTTGGAATCTAAAACTAGTCTATTCCGGTTGATGTATATAATTTTGCTGGAACGCTAAAAGATCACAACTAATTCCCTCTAAGTGAAATCTATGCCGTAAGCGTTATACAACGTAAAAGTCCGCAAATATATTAAAGGTCGGAAGAGATAACGTTATGCAAGAGAACTTTTCGACAGTACCCGGTACACACGGTCAGACGTCTTTCTTGTTTGAACGCACGCGAGGAATGCATGATTAGTTACCGACCATTAGATAATTGCTGAAAATCGATAAAAAAAATTGAGGTCGTCTCACTTCCTATTATTGCCATATATCGAGTGTAACGAAAATCATTTCTAAGAATATAACGCGGCACTTTTTAATTGACTTTCACGGTGATTGTTGATAAATATAGGCCTGTAATAAATGGTAAGACATTTCGAAAGCATACCTTACGGGGTTTTTTGGCGCCATTGATTAATTTAGCAAAATTTATACGTACTAAGACGGCGCGTACTTATTTATGTTATATTTGGTTTTGGGGACAAGACTGCTCTCCGCCGTCGTGAGAGGGAAATATTTCTCGCGCTTCGCTGCATTTTAATGCAATTTAAAAGTCTCGCAGCTATTTATAGAAGTAACCCGATTTGTTGATGCAACCTCGGTATTTATTGCCGCACCGGGTTTTGGATCTTCTCTTAATTGATTCATCTACATAAAAGTCGCCCGAAGGGAAATGTACCATTTTTACAAAAAAAAGTTGAGACAAACTTCTTGGGGTCGTCTGACCATGAGAAGACGTTGCATAACAGCTTGAATCTTTAGGTTCAAACTTTGCACTTTTCAGCTACGTAAATACTCTCCAGGCGTCTACCGTTACCCATACAATTAAAAACTCATTAATAACGTTCCGCTTCTAGGAACCTGAATGATTTTTTGGCGACCGTGTACGTCATTTCGTAGCCTATCCTTGATCATGATAATTACGATGGCATTTCGCTTGTTGCTATCCGAATAGTTCAAATTCAAAACTCATTTTGAAGTGCGATCAGCTTTGTTATTTTTTTGTGTCCGAAAAATTATAATAATTTATTCTGTTTGATCGACATTTATTTATTGGAAAATACTCATACTTGATGAGCGCGTGCATAAAATGATGCCGGTGTCGTAAAAAAACTGGTTGACACTTCGAGGAATCGAAACTAGTAGGTATTGATGATTAAAAGTGCATTGCTTCTACATTGTTGTTAAGTTGTTTATGCTCTCTTTATTAATGTTGCAAAACGTCCTCTTATTTCGAACCTTTCCACATTTAAAAATCTTGTTAGGAGCCTTTTTTGAAATTACAAAATACAAATGGTAGGGCCTTCCCTTAAAATAGGCTCCCTCCAAGAGAATTTGAGGACTGAATCGCTTAGGAGGTGATACGACAGATTCCCTGAGAGTCATTCTGGTACAAATTTTCCTTTCGTAGAATGAAAATTTTCAGGATAATGAAGCCTGTATTTACCCCGACCGCATTCAAAACTTGTGTCAAATTCTCGAAGAAATAACTCGAGACGATACAAGAATAAAAAGCCAAATTCCCAGCTACTCTGCATACACTAATTTTTTCCGCTTATTATTTGAGTTTTCGTAAGCTTTAAATACCATTTAAGCGGCTCAGATTGTTTAACTAAGATCGAATTTTGTTTGTAGTACGACTCTTCGAAATTAGGTCGCCGAATGTAGCATTTTAACGCTTGACCAAGTAATAAAAACTTTTAAAATGCCTATTACGAAAAAATTGCATCTTCACATATTACAATTTAAAGCTCTGATGAAGGATAAACAATTTTGATGGATGATATTGTAGTCAGTATACGAGGCATCGAGGCGCCATCAAATCGATGAGTCACTAGCGATAAGGAATGAAAATGAATGCGACGCATTCTTTCCTTGAAATATGATACGCCTTCTAGATACTTCGCAAACGTGTTTAATGGAAGTTCTTACATCAACGCCGAAGCGATGAATAG